TTGTAGTGCATTGACTCGCTCATGGCCACCGGAGCATCTACCTACTGGGCTCAGGTGATCCTTCTACCTCAACCTTCCAAGTAGCTGGAACTACAGGCATACACCACAATGCCCAGCCAATTTTTTTTTTTTATTGTAGAGATGAGGTCTCACCAAGTTGCCCAGGTTGGTCTTGAACCCATGGGCTCAGGCAATTTTTTAACTTTTTTTTTTTTTTTTGAGTTGGAGTTTCACTCCTCGCCCAGACTGGAGTGCAGTGGCCGCTCCCGGCCACCGCAGCCTCGACCCACTGGGCTCCGGTGATCCTTCCGCCTCAGCCTTCCGAGTAGCCAGAATTACAGGCGCGCGCTACCACGCCCGGCTGATTTTTGATTTATTGTAGAGATGAGTTCTCGCCAAGTTGCCCAGGCGGGTCTTGAACCCGTGGACTCAGGCAATCCACTCACCTCAGCCTCCCAAAGGCACGGGAATTTTTTAACTTTTAATTTTGAAATAATTTCAAATGTAGAGAAAAGTTGCAAGGTTAGTTTAAAGAATTCCTGTATACCCTTCACTTAGATTGCTCAGTGAGTATTATACTGCACATATTTTTTGTAATTCTTCATGTGTGTCTATGCATCTTTTTTTCTGATAACTCGCTATCCTCTTTCTTCAGTGTGTATTTCCTTTAAAAAAAAAAAAAAAAACAAGGAGCCGGGCTCAGTGGCTCAGCCTGTAATCCCGCGCCTTTGGGAGGCTGAGGTGAGTGGATTGCCTGAGCCCGCGGGTTCGAGACCCGCCTGGGCAGCTAGACCTCATCTCTACAATAAATCAAAAAATCAGCTGGGCATGGTAGCGCATGCCTGTAATTCCGGCTACTCGGAAGGCTGAGGCGGAAGAATTGCCGGAGCCCAGCAGGTTGAGGCTGCAGTGGCCGGGAGCGGCCACTGCACCTCCAGTCTGGGCAACAGAGTGAGACTCCAACTCAAAAAAAAAAAAAAAAACAAGGACACTGTCCTACAAAAGCACATGATAATTATCAAGCTCAGGAAATTAACTTTGATGTGACACTACCATCTAAACCACAGATACTGCTCAAATTTCACTGACCGTCCTGAAAATGTCCTTTGCAGGCCTGTGATCCAACCCCAGGATCCCTCATTGCGTTTAGTTGTAATATCTCTGCACTCCCCTCAACCTGGAACAACTCCTCAGTCTTTCCTTGTCTTTCATGACTTTGGCAGTTTTGAAGACTACAGGTCAGTTGTTTTGTAGAATATCGCTCAATTTGGGTTTTTCTGTCTCATCATAATTCTATTCAGGTTACACACTTTTAGTAGGAATATCACATACACAATGCTGTGTTGTGTTCTTCTCTGTGCGTTACAGCAAGGGGCACATGTTTTGATTTGTCCCCTTCCTGGTGCTCTTATGTCTTGACTAAGATATGTCTGATATGTTTCACCACTGTAAAGTTATTTTGTACTTAGTAGTTAATAAGTTATTCATATACAATCATTTGCTGTAAGATAGAGCTTTTTCTTCTCCCACACTTATTTAATTGTTCACATAAGTGTGGACTAATAGGTTCTTATTTTCATTCAGACTCAAAGTTTGAGGTGGGGCCTGAGATTCTGCATTTCTAACGAGTTTTCAAGTGAACCATTGCTGTTGTCTGAAGACCGCACTTTGTGTAACAAGAGTTCCTAGGGTGTTCGTCCTCTTTCTGCCCCTGGTCCCGGGAAGTATAGTAAATGGCACAGCCCGCAAACCTTAGGTATTGTTAAACCTTTTATTTTATTTTATTTTATTTTGCAAATATACACCCAGACAACCCCTGGTCGGCTCCTCCAGGGGTCCAGCTCCACTCCCCTTCGCCGAACACCTTCTGTTGCTGTGGTCTTTGGGTCTGTGGCTTTCTTTAGGGGCTGAGTACGTGGGTATATTCCTCCTAAAATCATGTTTATGGCCTGCCAATTTCATTCTCTCAGGGGACTCTGTTTACTGATAAACAATGGCAAAAACTTTAGAATCATGCCTTTTGAGTCTGAGCCCCACCTTCCTGGGTGTCTGCCCAATGCTTTAGCCTTGAGGCCAGGACAGTAAACAACAACCTGGCCATGAGGCCCCCAAAATTGGCTCTGCCTCAAGTTGGCAGCCCAGGTGACCTTGATGTAGATATTTGAATGGAGTTGCTTCAGGAATGACCTGTGGGATCTGGCTTCCCAAACTCCTTTAGCCTCAAATCCTCTCGTTTTTCCCACACATCTTCCTGTTGCCAGGATCTCACTATATTTTTACTCCATGTATTACTTGTTTGTGCAGCTCAGCGAGGTGTGTGGTAATCTGACCTTCCACCTCTCCAATCCCTGACTCTAGGCAGAAAGAGCTTCCCCCCAACAGAGGAACAACTGAAGCTTGTTCCCACTCTGCTATCAGGCCTCCCCCGACTGTCCCCCTGCTTTCATGGATCTCGTCTCTCTCCCAGCCTGTCCCTGAAGCCCACAAGAAGTAGCCAGCACATTCTATCCCAATGCTCTCCATCAGACCCTGGAGCTCAAAAGACCACGCCTGGTTTCCTGGCCAGCTGCTTCGTGATGGAGTTGCAAAGAATGCCAAATACCCAGCCTAGACTAGGAGATGACCCCATCCGTCCTCATCTGGTACCATTTAACAGGTTGCCTCAAGACAACGCGTAGATCCCAGGTTCCAAATTCTGTGTTCATCAGGGCTCTCTTGGCTGTGTGGGACAGTCAAAACTCAAGCTTAAAACTGTTTTGGATGCCGGGCTCGGTGGCTCAGCCTGTCATCCCGCGCCTTTGGAAGGCTGAGGTGAGTGGATGGCCTGAGCCCGTGGGTTCGAGACCCGCCTGGGCAGCCAGACCTCATCTCTACAATAAATCAAAAAATCAGTCGGGCGTGGTAGCGCGCGCCTGTCATTCCGGCTACTGGGAAGGCTGAGGCGGAAGGATCGCCGGAGCCCAGCAGGTCGAGGCTGCCGTGGCCGGGAGCGGCCACTGCACTCCAGTCTGGGCGACGGAGTGAGACTCCAACTCAAAAAAAAAATCTGTTTCGGCATCCAGGCTCAGTGGCTCAGCCTGTAATCCCACGCTTTGGGAGGCTGAGGTGCGTGAACTGCCTGAGCCCGCGGGTTTGAGACTCGCCTGGGCAACTTGGCGAGACCTCATCTCCACAATAAATCAAAAAATTAGCCGGGCGTCATAGCGCATGCCTGTAGTACCAGCTACTTGGAAGGCTGAGGCGGAAGGATCGCTGGAGCCCAACAGGCCGCTCCTGGCCACCGCACTCCAGTCTGGGTGACAGAGTGAGACTCCAACTCAAAAAAAAAAAAACTGTTTCGGCAAAAAGAGGTATTGATCAGAAAGATGAGGGTGTCTCACAGGACAGCCTGGACTTGGGAAAGGTAGGAGTGAGATGGGGCTTTCTCTCCGTCTTTCCTTCCCTGACTCTCTCACTGTAGGCTACTTTGTCCCTCTGCAGAACCCGCAGAGTGGCATGGGCTTTAGGTCTCCTAGAGGTGTCCTCAGAGCTGACCACATGCTACAGTCCTCAAGTGAGCTATGTGAACTCCAATGCCCATGTCCACCCAGACCAATTAAGTCAGCATGCCGGTGGGTGGAGCCTGGGCCATCGGCCTTCGAGGTGACTTGAACGGGCACACGATTGAGAACCACTGCATTATAGCTTCAGGCACTGAGAGACACTTGTCGTTCTCATTCATAATTCAGGGGGCAAGACTCTGGTAGACCTATTAAGGTTGGTGGCAACCCCCTCTGGCAAGAGGCCGGACAAGCCCCTGAGGTTTCCCGGTGGATGTGAAGCAGCTGATGGGCTGGGATGCGGCACAAGCGATCTATCTCCCTGCCACTTGCTTGTCCCCTCCCATCCCTGCCCTCGGCTACAGCGTGCGTGACTGTCACCTTGTCTGACTTGATTTCGGTCACTTTACCTCACAGAGTCAAGCTCTAGGAGAAGCTGAGCCATGTTCTTGGGATTTGAGAACTCAGTGGGAGATGGGGTTGCAAGGCAGGCAGGGGAGGAGGCCAGGATGGAGCTGGCTGAGGAGGCGGCACACAAACAAGGGGCAACGGACAGTCATGGACATCTCTTTCCAGAAGGCTGTTGTGCAGTGGGCAGAGAGTGACTCAGAGTCCAGGGAGAGTGTTTGGGGAGAGGCCGGAGCATGAGGGCGGGGCCGGTACACTCTGCCTGAGCAGAGAGACAGAGATGAAGGACCCTGGCCTTGGGACTGAGCTCCCTGGCTTTCCCTACATTCCTGAGACCTTTCCACCCTTCTATACTAAGGGGGTGGTACTTGGACTTTAAGACCGAAAGCCCTTCCAACTCTGACCGCTCCTCTAGGTGCAGGATGGAGCTCTGGTCACAGCCTCAGGCTGGCCCCCTCTCCATCCTGCTTCCAGGAAGGGACGTAGCTGGAATTTTGGCAGACCTGGAGAGGAGGAACTGTGGGTGTGGAGCAGAGCTGGGGTTTTCAGACCTTTCTCAGGACAGTCCTAATGCCTGAACAGTCCTGACGTGCTTCCCCCCTTCCCTTTACCACTTAGCAAGCTCCTACACAATGGTCCCTTGCCTGGCTTTCATCCCAGCACCCAGATGGAGGCCTTTCTTTTTTTTTTTTATTTATAAACATATTTTTTATTTTAAAATTGTGGGCCTTTCAAGGACTGTCCCTTCCCTTAGGAAGGCTCACAGGGGCAGAGTTTGTTACCTGTGGGCCTCTGGTTACCAGTGCTGGGCCAGGCTACAAGGACAGTTTCCACGGCTGGGTGGGATGTCTCATCTCAGATGTCCTGGTGCCAAGGCCAGGCAGCGGGGGAGGGTCACCAGGCAGGGAGCAGGGGCCCTGGATTGCTTCCTGCTCAGTTCTGGATGTGCCATGTAACCCCATCTTTGTGCCCCAAAGCCTCAGGAGTCAATGCTGACCTCTCTGAACCAGGCCCCACCCAAGCTACACCAAGGACAACCAACAACACCACGACTGGGGCTGGATATTCACTTCTCTTTTCCAAAAAATACCAAACACATAGTCTAGGTGTGGCGGGGGGACAGAGCCTGGCTGGGGACTGGACATTATACACCCAGGGGGCCCTTGGCGGAGGCGGGCATTTTAACAACTGGTCTGAAAGTCAAAAGAGAGAGAGCTGGTTAGTGGGGCGAGCGGTGGGGGAGGCAGGGGCTGTGCGTTCAGGCCCAGACACAGGGATGGCCAGGGCGGCCAGACCTCGGCCCTCACAGCAGCCCTGCCTGGGGCCCATTCCCAGGGCGAGGTGACGTGACCCAACCTAGCATCTGTGTGAGTGTACAGTGGCACTGGAAGTACTGTAAGAGCCTGAGATCAGAACTCAGAGAAAGTGGGATGGAGCCTCTTGGTCTCTCTGAACCTCAATTTCCTCGTGTGTACACTCAACATCCCAGCACCGCCTCCTGCATGGGGTAGTTGTGGAGGGCCCATAAGACCAGGGAGGGTGAAAGACGCTGCCCAACCCGAGGCACCGGGTATTAAGGTCCATCTTGGTCACTGCTGGATCCCCAGGACCCAGCACAGATCAGACACTCACACAGCTCTTCAGTGAGTAAACAAGTGGACGGGTAAAAGGACCAGCAGCTGGGCCGATGCGTGAGGGCCTGTCCTGGGTGTAGATGCATGCTGGTGCCCAAGAGCCTGTGTCTGGACCCGGATCTGTGTGTGCATGTGGAGGCTGGGTCTGCTTCTGGTCTCTCTCTCAGGGTCTCAGATGGCAGAGTGGTGCCCGTGTTGAGGACAAGCTGCTCGGAGCCCCAGACTGCACTCTGGGGACATCCTCTGCCCTACTAGCCCTGCCCAGGGGTGCTGCAGGGGTGGCTGGATGCTGGGCGAGGGGGCCATTGGGCGGGAGGGCTGGCTGGGGCTGGCGGAGCTCAGACGTACTCTCGGGCAGCAGTGGAGGGTCCTGGCCGGTAGGGCTGTGGGCTGTTGTTGGTTCTCTCAGGCTCTGGGCACGTGCAACAGAGGAAGGAGCCCCCCAGCATGGCCAGGCCAGCCGAGGCCCAGCCCACAAACAGGGCTGGGCCAAATTCGTACCTGCAAGGGGTAGGGAGAATGGCATCAGACGTGGCTGCCAGCTCAGGTTGTCCCCTGCCCCTGCCCTGGCCAAGGGAGGGCAGGGTGTGGGGAGCTGGAGGCTGGAGGCCCACAAGCCTCCTCCCCTCTCTGGATAAACTGGGGTGAATGCTTCTCCCGCCCTCCCCCAGCCCAGAATGGCAGCACCACAGGGCCACCCAGGCCCAGGGTGGGCCTAGAGGCTAGAGCTTGGCCTCAGGCCCCTGCTCTGAGCAACCTTGGGGTCATTTCCTTCTCTGGCCAGTGGAGGGGGCATGGGAGGGCCCAAGAGCTCTGCATGGGCAGAGTGGAGCAATCCGCCGTCTTTTCCTCGCAGTGAGCGTCTGGCCCACAGAACTGCCAGCCAGGGCTGCTTCCCGTTGTCCTCTGGAGACAGCCAGACCCCTCCACCTGGCACTCTGGGCTCTACATACTCAGGCCCTACTGGTCAGCCGGTCAGCCGGTCCCCCTCCGGGGTCTCCTCCCTCCAGGGGCAGTCCCACAGTCCCTCCAGCCTCCCCAGCTCCTTCTCTCTCTGTGGGGTCCTGTTCAAATGCCACCTCCTCATGGGGGCTTTCCTTGACACTCCCTCTGCTCGCCCCACCCCCTGAGCCAGCCCCACTGCCACGATTTCAACTGGAGGCCCTTCAGTCCCTTGCTTGCCTAGCTCTCTGGGGAGCACCGGGAAGGCAGACGGAACATGCGACTCATCAGTGTCCCCAGGGCCCAACACAGGACCTGGCACCCCAGGCAGCCTTGGGAACTGCGGAGGGGAAGTAGTGCCAAGTTTCAGCCTGGCATCCTTGAGCCAGACCTTGCTTGGCAGGTCTTTGTGGTGGTACCTGCAAAGGTCTTTGTGGTGTGAGGGAATGAGCCTCACACCTGAGGTCTCCTCCTTTTCTTCCCCTCTCCACACCTCTGCCTCCTCCAGGGAGCCCTCCAGACTGCAACAGCCCAGGCATTTTTTCTATCCTCCCTCTACTTCAGCCCATTGGGATGTGGGGTTGAGTCTGTCCCATTCTCTACCCCGGGGTGCCCTCCAGGATGGGCCAGGCCCTTCCAAGAACCCCCCTTCAGCTCCCCACCCACGGCCTTACAAGTCCTGATCATTCTAGCCCCTAAACATCTCTGAACCTGCTTTCCACTGCTCCCACCCTGGCCCCAAGCCCTCTGCTCAGACCTTTGCAATAGCCGCCTCACCAGTCTTGCTCCCTCCCCACCATTCTGCACATCACAGCCAGGGGGACTGCTGGCTGCCCTCCACCCCAGACGAGGTACAACATTGTCCGTGGCCACGAGGCCCTACACAGTCTGCCCTTATTCTCCAGTCTCATTCTCCTGGCCCAGAATTCCTGCTGCCTCCTGCAGGAAGCTGCCTCAGACCTGCTGCCTCCAGCAGAAATAAAAACAGCTCAGGTTTGCTGGGCCCTCTCCAGGGCCCCAGTGCTGCGCTAAATCCCTTACCTGAATCACCTCGCTGACCCCACGCAACCATGTGAGAGCTGGTCCTCAGGGTCTAGCTCCATTGTGCAGGGGAAGAAACCAGGCACAGAAAGATTGAGTAACTTGCCCAGGTCACTCAGACAGTATGTGCAGAGCTGGGATTTAAACCCAGAGACAGGGCGCTTGGCTCCTCAGAGAACCCTCGCTACCCCTGGGTGCCCCTACAAAGGGCCCCACTACAGTCTTCCTGACTCCCCCTCCAGAGCTTCTCAGACAGCAGCTGGGTCCCATCCCCTGTTTTCCCTTCCACGTGACTCATTGGACAAAAAGGCCAGTGGCCCCAGAGGAGATGAAGCAGGCGGCCCAAGCCCTGGCAACCCACCTGGCATTGACGGGTGTGCTGGGGTTGAAGAACTCCTGGGTGACCAGGGTGGCATACCACGAGACGGCAGTCAAAGTGCAGAGGCCTGAGGACAAAGCAGCGGGGTGTTCAACTCTGCTTCGGTCACTGGCGGCCGTCAGGGCTGGGGCTGCCTGCCATGGGCAAGGTGGTGGAGGAGTCAGGGGCACTTACCAGCCAGGAGGAAGAGGGCGCCCCCGGAGACGGCAACACGGCCTTTGGCGATGGGGTTGCTGTCTCCCACCCGCGTGCACTTCATGCCGACCACACTGAGGACCATGGCCACGAAGCCCAGGAGCACAGCCACCACCATCAGGGCTCGCGCCGACTGGATGTGACCTGGGGCGGACAGGGCAGCGCTGAGCTGGTGGGGGTGGGGGTGGGGCGGTGCCTGGGGTCAGACCACAGTGGGAGGAGTCCAGTTTGGGAGGGGCTCCAGTGGGAGCTGGTCTGGAGGCCAGGGGTGGGATAGCCTTTTGGAGAGCCAGGCAGTCATCTCATTCACCTGCCCATAACCCAGCACAGATGTTAGGATTCCTCTCTGCAGATGAGGACATCACAGTGCAAGGAGGTTTGGTGGCTGGCTCAAGGTTACGGTGGCAGAGCTGGGATCTGTACCCACAGCTGTTTGACCCTAGAGTCCCTGCCTCGCCTCCAGCAGGGCAGCAAGCTGGCTCAGAACCTCTCCGATGTGTACGGGCTGGGAGTGGGGGATGGTAGAGTGGGAGCTGGAGCGTGGAGCCCAGCACTGAAAGCAGCCTGTGGGGGAAGCTTGCTCCAGACCCTCCATCCCACCCCCCCACCTCCCACCTCCCCACCCACCGGCCTGAG